TTCGATCTATGGCGTTTCTATATATGATAATGTAGAAAATATCACATCCTCACAGAAGTCATCGGGTTTCCTCACAAAGGTCGTTGGCTGTCGGATGATATGACAGGGTACCAGGCGGTTGAGCAGAAGAAACGGTGGCTCGCATGAAATGGGACCACAATCAGTTGATGTGTTGAATGATGCAGACTCAGAAGTAGCTTCAATATAGGAAGATCGTGTCTAGTCCACAGGAAGCAACAGGTAGCTGTCAAGGAGTTCTTGCAACGAGTGAAGCATGGCAACTGTTGGTCTTTTGAGGGGGGGAGGGGGGGTCTCTAATCAAGTAGAACAATCGATACCCTCCTCTTCTACCTACAGAACGGTGTCCCTCCTTGCAAGTAAGATAGTCTCGTATACTTTCGGTCCTCTCTTCCGCTCTGTATCACTTTCCCCAAACAGCTGGTGTCCCACAGTTTTCTGATGGCTGGTAAAGGGTTCTGGCAGTAGCCTACTGAATGGGATCTTGACTCTTCTAACAGCACCGTCCTATGGACATTATTCCACAGGCACAAAGCTGGCTAGCCCTCGTGTTGCGACTGGATGTGGCAGACTTCACCGAGTTCAGTTGGCTTTGTTGCAAGGTGGAACGTTCTTGCAACCCGAATGCCTTCTTGCTTGAGGCTTTCAATACCTATGTGAAATTGAGAGGCCGGCAGTGGGACGGTTGCTGCTCGGCCTGCTGTCTGAATGAGAAAGACTTACGGGGAGAGGGGCTAAGAGTCACACAAGAACACTACTGTAAAAGCGGACCAACGACAGCGTTGAGAGGAGTAGCATCGATTACTTCATCTATACTGTAAAAAAGACTCATGAGATCAACTGCTGCTTGTCCTTCACTCGTCGTGAGAATTCGGTTACAGGTGCAGATATTAAGGCCGTCCGCGGCGTGATTGTGCATGCAAGCCTCCAGCAATCCAATGGCATGATCAAATATTAACAGCTCTGCTAACTATCGTTTTCAGGGAGCCAGCCCTTTGCAGATGCTCATGGAAGAGATCGCACACAGGAAGTCACGCTACTAGCCAGCCATCTCGTCCTTCTGAACCTGCCACGCACTCACCATCTCTGATTTTTCCTTGATGCTCATTTCAGAGAAAGACTTCCCAAGCAACTGTGCATAGCTTGCCTTGAAGTCAGCCAACGCGTCGCTGAGATCGTCTGTGTCCTGAAATCGAACGCTTCGGCCTTGGTTCCCAACATCGTGTGATTGGGCTCGGAAACGAGCAGTGTCTACCTCTGCGAGCCCTCGGGAAGGCGACCGGCTTGTTGCAGCCCGTAGTCCTGCCTCGGTATCATTGTAACGGGCTTCAGCTTCACATGCCGCTCTGTAAATAGCGTCATCGGCGTCCTTCTTCGTCCATCGGTTCCTGAGACTCGACCTCGTTTCCCATGACTTCTTTCGATTGCCGTCGATGTCCCACATGATCAACACATATGTCGTCGGCCACTTTTCGACAATGTCGGGATTGATCAGATTCAGATCATTCTGACAGCCGATAGGGCATGCCCAAGCCACTCCCCAGATGCCAATGATATGGCGCTTGGTGTACCGCCATTTCCCACTGGGTAGCTTTTTGTCGCCGTAACGGTTTTCTGAGTTGGTCACTTTGTACGGATCCTCGTCGTTTCTCTCTCGCTCTTCGTACTCGGCAGATTCGGCGAACGACTCCAAGCGGTATTTCGACGCACCTTTTCTCCCGTGGCGGTTTATATAGAAAGTCGTCGTTCCACGTCCCCAACCAACCGTTTGAAAATGTTCCGAATGCTTTAGGGTGTGTCTGACGAAGAGAGCCTTCTGACCATCTTCGTCGAGCTCGAACTTGTTATCATCTTGTGGTGGACTCTTGGGTCGGACGAAGAGCGGCGACCCAGCGCTGGTGTCGTTGGCACGGGCGTTGTTCGTGTCGTTGCTTACACTTTCTCCTCGAGAGGTCTCAGTCATGTTGCGTTCATTGTGATCGATTCCCTTGTCGTGACTTTCAGCAGCCGAGTCCTTTTGTTCCTCCTGTCTGGTCGTCGCGCTTTCGCCTTCGCCAGTGTTCTTTTCGACGTTTTCGTCAATGGGGCCGTTCTGTGTAGTGCTCTCCGTCTCTTCCTTCTTGATTTCTTTGTTTTCATCTGAATTCTCATCTCCGCCCTTTTCATCATCATCTTCTTTATCCACATCCATCGACTCAGGAACGCTAGCCAAGTCTTTAAGCAAGTTCTCTAGCCGTTCAATTTCCACCTTGTAATGATTTTTCTCTTCTTCATCCTTTGCTTTACCTTGCTTAAGCTTTTCGTTCTCAAGTTCCTGAGTCAACTTGCTCTTTCGTTCTTTAGCAGCCGAACCGTTCTTCTGCGACTTATTGATCGAGCTGGATGATCTGGCCATGACGAAAGGTTGATGATTCGAGGACAATTGACTTCAAGTCTTCCCTGGGTTGTCGACGTGATGCACTTTCTGCCTGCTTAGAAGTCTGTTTTCTCCTTAGTATTTATACAGCAATGTGGTGCTTCGACTAGGTGCTGACCTATGTCTGCTCCGGAGGTCCTCCGAGGTCCCAAATGTGGACCATCGAATGAACGACAGTCGAGGCCCAGAATTCGGTCTTTTTCTTCAAGTCCCAGGCCAGGGCTTAGGAACTTTTGGCTATGTATGTTGAGTTCTCACCTGACTTTGCCAATTCGGTGCACGCTTCATCTACAGCTATTTGGACGGCTTATGATATATGGTGAAAGGGAGGCCTTCCCTCCTAGATCTTCACGGCAGCTTCAGACATGGGCGTGCATTTAGATCGCCTCGTGAACACAGTTCGACGAGGTATCGATATGGTCTCATTGTCTATGAAGAAATCGATCTGCTATTCTAAAAAGGGTTTAAATGTCGGGTGGTCCGGGTTCTTTCCGTGGGAAAAGACAGCCGACATTGCTGGACATGGTGTTCGGCCACCAGTGACGTGTTCACCGACTCTTCGAACGGCAAAGTGCGGTTATATTAGAAGGGCAGATGAGATATATGTGGTGTAATGGATATCAAGGGAAGCGCAGCTTGGAAGGAACGAAATATATTTGATCATAGCTCACACTTGCGCACGGTGGCATGGATCATAAGCTGTGATAAATTATGCCTGCCCAGCTTATTCTACTAGTTCGATGGGCTTGGTTCCAACCAGTCTCAAATGGTAGTGCGTCACGTAAAGAATGGCAGAGCACCACCCAGTAGCCCTAAGGCACATCCGCAACAGAGACAGCCCACTGACAGTCCAAAAATGCCCCCCTGCTCTAAGTCTACCCACGCTGGCAGGGCAGACCGTAAGACCATCTGGAGCCCAACTGCCAGCATGAAGGGAAGACAGCATACTAAGCCAAGAAGAAGATGAAGCCCGCTTTGGAAAAGACGGAAAGGCATGATCATGCTCATCATACATGAACACCAACCCTTGAGAACAGAGATAAAGAAAGTGAAAGCACCGATGATTAAGACGATTCCAGCGATGAAGCAGTTCATGATGTGAGGCGCGGTCATGAAAGCAAGACCTCTATCGTCCAGAAACTTCGAATCACCGAACGCCTTATTCAACACCTTCAGTGCTTCTGACGGGATAACATCCGAAATCTGGAATGGCAAGCGGTGACAGAACTTGTCTGCCAGATCGTCGACACACATGTATCGTGTTCCGAGGTAGAACACCTGCGGGATACTCGGGATGGCCTTAGACACCTGAGTTGCGACTGCGTCCGCCACACTGCGCACTCGGCTGACCGAGTCAGGGATAGCTGTCTTGACTGTGTCTCCGACTCTAGATGTGGCGGCATCGATGTTGCCTGGTGGTTTTGGCACTTTGGGTACTTTGGGCACGTTGGGCACGTTGGGTATTTTCGGTATCTTGGGTACTTTGGGTACCTGTCTCGGCAAGATTTCTTGCAGCTGTTGAGATAGGTCAAGCTACAAGGCACATCAGCACCAAATCTCGTACCATCCTCATAGACCCGTCATGAGTACCTTTATTGTGGCGATGCCTGACTTGGCATAACCCTGGGAGAGGCCCAAGGCAGCTAAGATAAGGCAACATAACACACAAATGAACATGGACACAGCTAGAAAGACTTTGTAGCCACCGGGTTTGCGCATTCGAGCTGTTTGTACGAGCGATGGTGCGTCAACTCTGATACCTTTGGTGTTTGGATTGGGCGTTTTTCAGGTAATAATAAGGAGTTTAAGGTCAATTACGAATTACTGAAGAGCCTGAGAATAGCTCTTATATGGCTTGGAGCAATCCTAATACTCGGTGTGACCCTAAAGGCGGCTCTAGAAAGGGTCCTTCAACTGGGCCCCAAATCTCGGCCCTGGGAACAAACGACGGTGGTTGAAGAGTGCTTCCGTTTCTCGAGCTTTCGCCGCGAAGCTGAAGGGGGCGGATTGCACGGATACCTACAGCATTCAGGAGCTAGTGGACTGGATCAACGACATACATCGTTGGGGTTTGTCAACACACAGTCGAAGCCGTGAGAGGGATCTATCACGGCAATCCCTGCATGGCGGTAATGTCCCCTTGCGCTTGTCTCCCTGGCCTCGACGATATCAACAGACCACTGTAGCAAGAAACCGTAATCCTCATCATGTGCGTCCCTGCTGTGTTGCCAGTGACGTTTGATGATGGATTTCAGCTCCGCAAAAAGCTCCTCGACGGGATTATGGATGGGCGTATATGGGCTTAAGTACAGGAGCTTGACGCCAGCTGCGGCACAAAGAAGGGCAATATTGTCAGAACGATGGAACGACGTGTTATTCATGATCAGTACGGACTTGGGGTTGGGTCAGCGGCCGCAGTGGTGCAGTAGCTGCTCAATGTAATCTCCAAAGACAGCCGCATCCGTTGAGCATTGGAAAACTTTGGCAAAACCCACGCCATCCTGAGCGTACGCAGGCAAAATCTGGTACCTGGCGTCCCTGTGGAAGTGGGCTACTTGGATAGGCGTTACACCCCTCGGAGACCACCCAGTTCTTCTGAGTCTGGCGCGTCTGTCACATCCGGATTCGTCGACGAAAATGATTCGAAATAACAAAAACGCTGAGACCTGGTGCAGATAAAGTCGCAGAGGTCCGCATTCCGTTCCTGGGCCATACGACGGACTGTCTTCTTTGACCAGCCTGCCGCCGCCAACACAGAGCTGATCGTTGAGATAGCCATGTCCAATCCATATTTATTCTTTAAGAATGATATCATCTGGCCGAGAAACATGTCAGGGTGTTACTTGAGCTCATCGAGCAACCCAGACACTATTGGAAGAGTCAGCTTTCTCGGTCGTCTGGCGCGGATTTTGGGGGCAGTAGTGGTTTTGAAGTAGTGCAGGTCAGTTCGAATACGTCGCACGGCAGTTGGAGTACAGAGAGCAGCAATGAGCAATCTCAGCAGCTGGCACTTCGCACTGAAGCATGTCGGCAATTAATCCATGCTGCGCAGTCGACAAACGAGGCGCCATTTGGTCGTGGTGTTACAGTGCGTTGGGACGTCGAGAAAGAGGGCCTCCTAACCTTAGGATCTCATCACGTGATGTTATCAGCTCACCAAGCCTATGCATGTTGTCACCACGGAATTGAACAAAGTGGATTGATTGTTGTTAAGGTACAAAAGGAGACTTCCAGAAGTCCAAACGAAGGTAATTGGTCAGATCCAGCATCGGTAAGGAGTCTTACCGGGGCGATAACGACAGAACAAATGCATCAAATGAGGACTCCACATTTGGGATGAAAGTACTCCTGGGTCACAGAACAGAACCTTGCCTGATCGGCAACACACCCCCTCAGATGGGTAGGCGAGCCTCTCTCTGACCATCTGAACCACGAAAGATCAGGCAGATGCCTGTTGGCGGCTTTTGGTAGAGAATTTGGTGCCTTTGGAACAGTTGGCGTTCTCAGGGCAGATGAAGGAAATCGTGCTTGTGAAGCAAATAAGGATGTGTGTAAGTGTTAGGAGAGGTGGGCGAAATTGAGCAAGCTGTTCACTGGTGGACCGCTGGTACGCACTCCATCTGCAGAAGCTTCACGAAGTTCTGATGCTTCTGAGTCGGGAGAATCTTTGTAAGCCCATCGCTCACTATCTTGTCAGTGCTCATCCAGTCCACGGATATCTTCCCCTGTCTGACTGTTTGTCGGATCCAAAGACGATGGATGTCAACATGCTTGAGCTTCGTAGTGGCTTGAGGCCTCTCACTAGTGAGTAACAGCAGCGTTTGGCGGTTATCACAGAACATCTGGATCGGAACCTTGCCATGAAAACGTAGCTGAAGCTCCTTGATCAGACGAAGAGTGGCAAGGTAGTTCCTCGCTGCGACACTGAGGGCCACCAGCTCAGCTTCGGTGCTAGAAGTGACCACGGATCGCTGCTTTGTAGCTTTCCAGTCAATTGGACCTCCAAAGAGCATGGTGGTGTATCCTTGTGAGCTAAATCTGGTGATGGGATCATCGCCGAATGATGCGTCGCTCGCACAATACAGCGATGTAGAATGGTCTCCTGATCCTCCGTAGGACAGCGAGAGAGTCCTTGTGCGATAGAGGTAGCGGAGACAGTGGTCTGCTGCAAGGTGATGGAGTTCTGTCGGCCTGAGCAGAGACTCCGCAAGTCTTGAGGCAGCTTTGGCCACATCAGGTCGTGTTGTGGTTGCTGCGTAATTGATGGAACCAATTTTGCGTTGGTATAGTTGAATGGATTCAGCAGAGGCTTCGTAATCCTTTGGAGCAGGTGCTGGGTCTGTTGATAGAGGCGTCAAATGACCTCTGGTGGATGGCTGGAGGTTGAGGTCCTTCATCTTTTCAGTGATGTAGTTCTCCAGAGACAGCCAGAGCTTGCGCTGGCTACGATCTCTGACCACTCTGATGCCTAAGAACCATCTGACCTCGCCAAGTTCTCGCATCTCGAACAGAGACTTGAGCTGGCTCTTCAGCTCTTCGGCCGCTTGGCGATCCTCTTTGCGGTTCATGAGGATGATGTCGTCAACGTAGAAGAACATGATCATGCCTCTGCCCATGAAGACACAGTTATCTTCCTCGAGAGCCACGAGGCCGATCTTCCGCATAGCCTCGGACAGCAGCTTGTGCCAGAGAAGCGGTGATCGGCGCAAACCGTACAAAGCTCTCTTCAGCTTGAAAATCGTGCGCCTCTGTGGAGCGCCCTTCTTCTGTTGCATCTCCTGCATGAGATCCCAGCCCTGAGGGGCCCAGACGTAGACTGTCTCGTCGAGGTGTGCATTTGGAAAGGCGTTGACGGCATCCAACTGGTGCGTGTCTAGGTCAAACTCTGCACAGATGGCCATCAACGTTCTGAACGTCTTGGCTGCCAGTGTCGACGCGTATGTTTCCATCTCATTCTTGGGCTGTTGGTCTCCTCGTACGCAGAGCCTGGCCTTGAACTTGGTCACGTAGCCGGTGGAGTCAACCTTGTATTTCCAGACCCAGGTCAACCCGAGAACCTTGTGTATTTCCTGGTCGACCGATTCGAAGGGGACTTGCTCGATTGTGTCCATATTTTCAATGGTGTTGACCTCCTGGACGCTTGCTTCTAGCCACTGCTTTTTGTGATCAGAATGAAGCATCTCCTTCCAGGATCTTGGCTCCGCGGGCATATCTGTTCGGAGAAGCGGTTTCTTGTTCGATGGAGTCTGAGTGTGAAAGAATGAGTATTCCACGGTCAAATGTGATGATGGAGGCATTTTCTTGCTGCGGCGGGCTCCTAGAGCCTGGTCGGTGGGGGTGCCGTCTTTGAACTGTGACGGCTTTCTGTCTCTAGCGCTCCTTCGAGTGCCTTGGATTTGTGTTGATGGCGACGGCTGTGGGGCTGGTGCCACTGATGGTCGGGCCTCCACAGTCTCTGTCTCGTCTTCAGCTGAACTTTGATCAGCTGGTGTGTGTTGAGGTGTTGATTCAGGGCTCCGAGCTACTTCGATAGTGTCTTCAATAGCCTCTTCAGTCACTTGAATGGTGTCTGGCACGGGGATCGTGTCTTCCACAGCATCTTCAGCCCCTTGAATGGTGTCTATTACGGCATCTTCCACCCCCTCAGAGACAGCTGGCTGGCCTTGTCCAGTCTCCGTCTCTGGAGTTGGACGTGGTGACGGCAGGACATCATCTCTGCTGGCTGTGTGACCTTCCCGGGGTCGCAGTATCTCCGCGTTGATCTTTCCTCCAAGTTGGAATGTCCGGGCTTTCTCGAACAGGTCGATGGTGGCAACATCGAACTCGTCAATGTCCAGTGACGAGTTGAAAGGATTCTGGGCGTCCGCAACGGGCACGTCCAAAGCCTGGAATTCGTCCTGTAGAATTGGCTTTGGGGATTGGGCGTCCTTGAAAACTGTGGACTCATCGAAACCCACGTCTCTTGTCCTCAATACTGCTTTCATCTCTGGAACCCAGATTCTGTATATGTTGCTGCTGTCGTATCCACAGAGATAGCCGATGTGGGCTCTCGGAGCCAGCTTCTGCTTTCGGTTACGTCCCTCTTGGGCGTCTGCCGTGAGAGGATACGCCCTGCATCCGTATCTTCGCAGGTGAGCCAGGCCTGGAGCCGTAGTTCGAGCGGCAAGGCCCTTGGAGTTGAGCCAGTCGTTCAGCCTTCCTTCTGGTGTCGCCCACTGTAGGCGTCCCTTCGGCGTGAGATTGTGGAGATATGCAGCGGTTTGTACCACCTCTGGCCACAAATCCTCCGGGAACCCAGCAGCCGAGGTAAGGGTTCTTGCGATGGTGAATATCGTGCCTCCATTGCGTTCTGCGGCACCGTTCTGTTCTGGTGTCCTTGCGGCTGATCTCTCCAAGAGAATGCCGCGCTCTTCTGACCAAGTAACCAGATTGCTGCGTAGTGCTGAGTCCCAGTCAACTCTCAGGACCTTGATGACCAGATGGTACTGTCTCCAGAGAAACATCTCAAAGTTGATAAACGCCTGGAAGCCATCTGCTCTGGCAGGCAGAATCCTGGCAACAATCTTCCCCGAATATGCGTCCGTTATTACAAGGCACGACTCCATGCCGTTGTACGACTTCCCAGGGCTGAAGAAGTCCAGGTTGACGCGCTCAAATGGATTCGTCGTCGTGTACGTTGGCTGTCTCCGAGATACAATCTTCTTGGATTTCGCTACCCCGCAAGACTCGCATTCGAATGTTGTTGGCCCTTTCACCCCAACTCCAGTACAGCTGTATGGCAGCTGCTGTATGGCCTCTGGGTGGGCATGAGCCAGCCGTTCGTGCCAGAGCCTCGAGTCGCTGACCATCGCGGCTCTCTGCTTCTTGGAGTGATAGAAGGAAGTGGTGCTATGTAGGGTGTTCACCGCATACTGGCCACCCTTCTCCTGAAGTGGGATCTCTGAGCCAGTGGCTGGGTTGAACAGCATGTTCCTGAGGGAGTCCAGTCCGAGTCCTTGGCGTTGGAGCTGCCTGGCTGAAATAAGCGTCGTCGGGTAGTCTTTGATGTACGAGACATCATGGCAGGTGATGCTGATGACGTTCTGCTTGCTGTCGAGGGTGTCGATGGCCATCGTGCCATGCCCTTCGACGGGGCTTGATTTGCCTCCTCCTGTGCTGTATCTTACAGTGTCGGTGGCCTCGCGAAAGTTGGTGAGGAGGTCTTTGTTGTTGGTTATATGGTTGGGTGTACCCGAGTCGATCAGGAACTCGTGACGGAGATCCCCTCCTCGGTTTGTCCGTTGAAACTCGTCCGAATCAGCGACGGAGAAGTTGCTCATGAAGTTGGTGTACTCGTCATCGCAGCTCTGTTCATCATCGTCACCGAGGAAGTTGTTAAAAGCAGAGACGGCGACTCCACTGGTGCCTCTTGCCTCCTGCCGCTTCTTTTTGTCCTCCTTGATTTTCTCGTTCCAGAATTGCAATGTGCTTGGCTTCATCCTTTTCTTCGCTTCGTCAATGTAGTCCAGCAGGCTCTGATCGGATTGATAGCTCTTCTTCCTCCGGTGTTCCGCGATATTTGGGCACAGACAGATGGGCTGACACGCCTTGGGTGCCCTCTTCTGCTGTACACAGTCGCAGAATGGTCTGCGAGAAGGCGAGCTGTTTGGCTGTTGAGGAGAGTCACGATGGGAATCCTGGGCACTCGTCCGATCACTTTGACCATTCCGGTCCTTGCCCATGAAGGTCACCGAGTCGCTGTAGAAGGACGTCTGAGATGGCTTGGTGGTGAGGCGATGC